AATTTTGACTGGGCCAACACGCTGTTTTCTGCATTTGACAGCATTTCTGAACACAACCTCAGTCTGTTCCCAGCCTGGTTTTCCCCTGCTGTCCGTTTCCTACCGCTCAGCTTTCAAGCAGCCTTACTCCAGGGGCAGGAAGAGGAATGTGTAATGCTATATTAATCTGTGACTCCCCTGATGCATCCTGTAGGCCTGCAGGCTTTACCGCCTCCTACTTAAGGAGAAAGGAATTCAGCAGGTCAGCTCTTTGAGAGGCAGAACCAAATTCCAGTGCTAAGGTGTTAATGGGGAAAAATACTGAAAGGGTTCGTACGTTTTTATTAATATGGGAGGGGGGAGCAGTGCTGGGCTCTGACCTTATTTAAGTCAACAGGAAACAAGTCCCAGCACCTGAAATCTAAGGGGGCTCCAGTTTAGTTTTTTTTTTTTTTTTTTAATAAAAAGAAAAATCCAAAGAACAAAATCTACCCCCAGGAGCAGAGGAGCCCAGCAGCCCCAGCGGTTCAGCAGCAGAAAAGCCCAGGCTGAGCTGGTGTACTGCAACTGACTCACCCCCCAGCGGTCCATTATCAGCCCATAGCTGGGAGGCTGGGGGCTTTCAGAGGGTGCTCTGCAACTCGCTCTGCCGTGGTTCTTTGCAGGAGTGTGAGGTGCTGGGAACTTGCAGAGGCTCAGCACCCTGCAGGAGCAGGCCCCTGCATTTATTGATTTCAGGCCAAGGTCCAACTCTTTGCTAGGAGGTTGGGTACGAGACATTGGCTGGGGAGGGGTCCCAGAGTTGCTGTAGGTTGGGATTAACTTTCAAGTTCACTCTGCCTGTTAGCTCTTTGTTTCTAATAGAAGGGGGCAAACAATTCTTAGTAAATAATGCATCTGGGAACCTGAGCCCACTTCTCTGTTTGTCAGTTTCCCACAAAGAGACTGTGGGCCAGCCCCCACTGCTGTAAATCACTCCACTAAGGTCAGTGCAGCTATATTAAGTGATACCAGCTGAGGATCAAGCCCTCTGATTGTTGCAAAATGTTCTCTATTTTAAACTATGTGCCTGATGCAGAAATACCCTGCCGATGGGACAGGCACAAAGCAGTCACTATTTGTTATCCCTGGTGGATGACTGGTCAGCTACGTCACATCGTAGTTTTTCTCCAAATGGACACAACTAAAACCTTACCAGCAGGAGCCAGGAAAGTGAAAGGGATTTCAAGATGGCTGCAGGAACTTTCCCAGCACATGCCTTCATGTGAACACACTTTTACATGAGCGTTCAAAGACTCTTGCTTTCTGGGAATGTTTTTGCAAACAAACAAAATCAATTGTATGAACATTCATGGCAAACAAGAGTGTGAATGCCATTTAACAGAGGTGTGGGTGTAGCTGAGGACTTCGGTACTTTCTTTCCACAACTTGCCCAATCCTAGTTACTAATTTGTGCTTTTAAGTGAACAGTCAATGGATCCAGAAGCTCTTGTGATGGGCATGTTTCTGAAGTGCTGATAGGACAGGGCCATGTCTACACTATGGACACTACAGAGACACTGCTATGGTTCCTATACGGATGGAGGGGTCTTTCCATCGCTGTAGGTAATCCACCTCTTCAAGAGGCAGTAGCTAGGTCAACAGAAGAATTCTTCCATCAACCTACCCACTTCTAGGTCGACCTAACAAGAGCACTCAGGGGTGTGAATGTTTTTCACTCCCCTGAGCACTGTAGCTATGTTGAGGTAACTTTTAAGTGGGGGCCAAGCCTAGATCCTTTCTGCAACCCACAGAAAAGGATTCACAAATGCTTGGAACTGGAGTTGACATCATTTATTGTAACAAAGTCACTTTACTGATTACCGTGATTAGCATGCTATTTATATTGTGTCGGCGATCATGTTAGAAATGGTTAGAGAGGGACAGTTCTCATCAGCACTGCCCAGGGGAGGGTGCTGAGTTTTAAATCCTGTGTTTATCCGAAACTATTTTTGGACATTTCTAAAGCTATGTCTACACCTAGCACTTTTGTCGGAAAAGCACACCCCTCTGACCGACATAAGTTACACCGACAGAAGCAGCAGCCCAGAGAAGCTCTCCTGCCAACGTAGCTACCGCCGCTCATTGGGGATGGTTTAATTATGCCTACCGGAGAGCTCTCTCCTGCCAGCATAGAGCAGGTACACGGGAGACCTTAGAATGGCACAGCTGCAGCGGTACAGCCGAGAGGCTGTAACGTCTCCCGTGTAGACGTGGCCTAACCTATACGGGAAAGCTGAGCAGAATCGGTTTGTTTGGAAAGATCTTCTTTCCTAGCCCTTGAAAACAGCACTGATTTTAAAAGAAGAAGTTGGGAAGTGCTGAGTCTGGGCTGACCCAAAGCAGTGGCAATCTGTAATGACGGGGGTTACCGCGGAAAACACATGGGGACAACTACACTGGGGATTCCAAGAGGCACAGAACAAGTCCTCCTACATTCTCAGAAGACGAGAGCACAGCTCTGCTGAGTTACCGTAGCCTTTCAAGACAGTGATTTCACAGCCTTCCTTCAAAGTAAAGGACTTTTCCAAGAGATAAATTTGGGTCAAAACCCCGAAAAAGCCAGAAAATTGGAGACTGTGCTCCACAAATCCCTGCTGTTCCCCCATGTCCTGCCCCTTGCACTCACCCATCAGGTGGGACTCTCAGTGTACCTGGGAACTCACTTGGGCTGCCCAGCTTGCCTCGACTGTGGGTGGAGTGGTGGGTTCCCTATGGGGACGTGACAGCAGACTAAGAGCCTCTTCCCCCTTCCCCCCAAACATTTACCGGCCATGGCTGGACCTTGCAGTGCATGTCATGCCCCACATGCTGATGTCCAGACAGATTGCGCTGGTGCAGGCCCCCCTGAGAGATGGTGTCTCCCCCCCACACTCCTTGTCACACATTGTCACCGGGTCAGGTTTGTCACCCAAACATGGCATCACTCTGCCCTTTTCCACCTAGTGTTAAACTGAGGGCTAAGATGCTCTAATTCACAGCAGCAGGGACGATCCAGCTCCCTGTTCTCCAAGGAGCCACCCTCCCTCCTGCCAAGGAAGGCTCAGGAGATCGGAAACTCTGTGGAAGCCCCTGCTGCATTGGGACAGGGATGGCGAAACGGGTCAGTCCCATCCCTGCTGAACGAAAGCACCAGAACGCTCACTCTTTTCCCTAGCCGAGCAGCCCCCGTGTTGGCAGGGGCTGGGATCCTAGCTGCGAATGGACAGGGAGAAATGGACACAATTCCACCCCCCTGCTCCCCACTCTTTTCAGCAATCAGAGTTAACGGGACAGTGCCTCTCTCTCTGCAAGTGCTCCGTGCTCTAATTTTTACAGACACGCTGAGGATGTTACTCCTTGATTCCAGACTGCGCTCATTTCCTGCCCTAGAGAGTGGAAATTAAATGATAATTGGAGGATTCTGGGCAGTACAGTTTCTGGTGTGGAAAGTAACATAATATTATATAACCCGCAGTGAGAGGAGAAACCCAGGCTGGCTGGGCAAGGGCTCTCCCTCAGCACTGAGCAGAACATAAAGTGCTTTGTTTGCCAAAGGTAACTGCACTTGAGCAGCTATAACTAATGGCAAATTTATCTTCAGATGAACCCTGGACACACAGGGAATAAATCACTGGAATTATTCCCCTGGCTGCCACGAACTCCCTTCAAAAGCAGCTCAGGAAAACCAAGTGATCCTGTCCCTTCCAAGTGAAGCTAGAGGCACCAGAAGAAGAGAGCTGCAAGCCCTTTTTAAATACATTGTCTTCATTTTTTAATATTTTCTTTCCTACTGACCTTTGAAATACTTTTAGGATCCAGAACTGGAGAGCTAAACACCTGGTCCTCTATTTGTTTTAAAAGTTTTAAGCAACAAACCAAAGATTAGTTTCAGAGTAACAGCCGTGTTAGTCTGTATTAGCAAAAAGAAAAGGAGGACTTGTGGCACCTTAGAGACTAACCAATTTATTTGAGCATAAGCTTTCGTGAGCGACAGCTCAATCCCCCAACTAACTAAACTTTGCATCCGATGAAGTGACCTGTAGCTCACGAAAGCTTATTCTCAAATAAATTGGTTAGTCTCTAAGGTGCCACAAGTACTCCAAAGATTAGTGTAACTCAATCCACACAAGTCCATGGAATATCAAATAGATCTGCTGTCCAATAGAATCAAACAAGCAGTTTGCCTCTGCTTTGTCCAAACAACCTGGAAGTCTGTTTAACTTACAATAAAATTCTTGATCAGAACTGTTGCCCCGTACAAAACTCCAGCCCCAGGTCCAGGTTTACAGCCCTTACCTGAAATGAACAGGATTTGTTTTTCTAAATACGTGTAACCTGCTGCACTGAGGCTGCTTTGTCGCATGACTGAAGCAAGCCCATCCAGCCTCAAATTTCAGCGCTGCTAGGAAAACAGGGTGTTCTTGACAGGTTTATTTTCACTCCTTCCCCAGGTTAGCCCAGGTTTAGATGTGTGGCCTGGGCTATTACTCTAAAATGGTTCCATGAGACTTAGGAATGCGAAGAAAGGTCCATTAGAACAGAGGCAGCAGCCGTCCCTTTCACGTCACTGTCAATAGTGGTAGACGGGTCCCAGATATCAATACTAGGCTCCGGTCTAAGAGAATCAGAACCACCAGGAAGGAGCCCAGCCCGGAGGAGAACATTTACATGCTTAGAGGCTGATCCTGCTAGTGTCTAAGACACTGAACTTCGGCAGAACGCTTGCTGCAGAGAGGGGACACTCAGAGAGAAGAGTTGCTCGCAAAGTGGTAGCTGGGGCAAGTTCTAAAGGGAGAACTTGCTTCCCTTCTCTTCCCCCCTCTGTGGCTGGAGGAGGGGCGGCTACCCTGGAGCAGAGTTCAGGTGATTCGTGCTACCACTTCTGGAGGGAGCTCTTCTTCGGACTGGAGCTGCATCTCCCTCAGGCCAGCCTCTGCTCTGCTAGGAAAGGGGGGAACCCAGGGGTTAGTAGGGACAGGGTCAGCACCAGTGAGTCTTACCTTGGGGCTTGGAAGCCTCTGTGGCGTTGGGAGTGGTCATCGCAATGCAGACGTCGTCCTGGGGGAACTGGTCGCACTTGAGCATTTCTGGCCAGTAGAAGCCAAAGAACTGCATGACGGGCTCGCAGGAGTCACGCACGGCCTCGCAGAGCCAGCGGCAGGGGTAGATGGGCCGGTCCAGGCACACGGGGGCAAACAGGGAGCAGAGGAAGACCTGGGTGCCAATATGGCAGTTCTTGTTGAGCAAGGGCACCCAGCTGCTGGCCTGCTGTTTCACCTCGGCCATGGTCTCGTGGTCCAGCAGGTTGGGCAGGACCATTTTGTCATAGCCCACGCTGTGACAGAGGCGCAGGTCCGCTGGGATGGCCACGCACTGTGGGGGTTTGGTGTAAAATCGCCCACTTTGGTAAGAGCCTATGTCGGACTGGAAACTCACATAGTCATATTCATTTGCATCACTGCAAGCAAAGAGTCCGGCTGCCAAGGCCAGCAGAGCCCCGGCTCCGCTCCAGCTGGGGCCTCCTGAACTGTGGACTCTGCCCATTCTTTAAGCTGAATGAAATCAAGTTCCAGGAGCTTTCTGCTTCCTTTCCCCTCCTGGGTTGGAGGTCTGCAGAGAAATCCTCCCGCCCGGTGCTAGGCAGAGGTCTGCCCTCCTTCCCTTGCCTCTGAGTGCCTGAGCAAAGGAAGCAGCCTCTCTCGCCTGGTGGCTGTGCCTGGAGCACCTACTCTGGAGGCAGCCAGACTGAGAATGGCCAGAGCTCTTGTTGGAGAGAGTTTCTGAGCCTCACACACCAGCCAATCAGCACTGAGCTGCTCCTAGTGCACTCATTTACAAGTGTCAGTCACAGACTCAATTAGCCAATCACCTCCCTAGCACGGGCTCATTTGGGTATAAGCTAGATACAGGTCAACTCCCCTTAAAACAAAACCCAAAGCTGCACAACAGAGTGAACTGCATCTTCCCTGCAGGAAGCAGCAAACTTCTCGGATGCCAGGTAATGGAGACAGCTCATGTTTTACCTTCAGAGTCGCACACGCTGACTCACAAATCAACCAAGTCTTAGTTCCCTACAGCTCCAGGCAAGCGAGCGACATGTCTGGGAGGCTTTCTGAGTGCCGTGAAACCTGCAGAGCACAAGCCCAGGAACTTTTTGCTCCTTACAGAGTCTGCTGTGCTGCCCAGTGGAGGAGTTCTCTTGTCAGAGCTTCCTGAAAGGGTGAAGATATGGCAGTTCTGCAGTTAGCATTGTCCAGCAGCCCAGAGAACAGTCCACTTGTTCTTGCAGTTTGAAACCAGCACTGGCTTCCCTGCTGTCCTCCCCCAAATAATTACTGCTGGATGGGACGCAGGGTGTTAGAGAGGCAAACATTAAAAACACACATTAGCTCATCGGAGCTACTTGTATAAATCTGACAAGCCTGTCGCTCAAACATACATTTGAGTCCAATTTGTTACCTAAGTCAGCAATTCTCTGGGGCTGTTCAGCTTCAGAGCACCTAGCCAGGATCAGTAAATGGTCCAACACCTTGCAGCGCAGGGCAGCTTTATTCCCCCATTCCTGAGGGCTGATAAGTCTCCCCTCAGGAGAGAAATCATTCGGAGGAAGCTGATTGCTAGAAGGTTCCCAAAGGCTTCAGTCATGGAGGGGAAAGGAGAGGTGGCTCTACACCTGGTCCAGCTGGGTTCACAAGCCCCTGGGCTTGGGCTTTGTGGAATAAACAATTCCAAGCAGTTTTCTGTTTTGCAGCAATTCCCTTTGTCCCCCGACAATGGCTGCACGCGCTGTTTCCTTGGTTTTGTGCAGGAGGGGTTAATTCAGAAGTAGTTTTATATTTGCTAGCCACCTCCAGAGAAATACGGGGTCAGAATCGGAAAGGCCAGTGTCATGGGGTCACCGGGCGATGCTCTGGAGCTGCTCCCTTGGAAGCCAGGCAGGACTCTCGAGGAGCCTCTTCTCTGGGAGCAGACTGTCTCCAGGGCAAGCTCACACAGCGTCGACCTTCCTGGATCTGACCTCAGAGCATTCAGCCTCCCCTGCCCCTCCGTGCGCTTCCCGCAGCACGTCCGCGCAGGCCGGGCTCCTGGGGAAGCCAGAGGGCCCTGCACCCCAATTCCACAGTCAGACGTGACTTTCAGCCAGCCAGTAAAACAGAAGGTTTATTAGACAACAGGAACATGGTCTAAAACAGAGCTTGTAGGTGCAGAGAACAGGACCCCTCAGTCAGAACCATCTTGGGGGGCAGGGAGGCCAGAGCCCCATCTGGGCCTCCCTCCATTTCCCCAGCCAGCTCCAAACTGAAACTCTCCCGCCCCTCCTCTGGCCTTTGTCTCTTTCCCGGACCAGGAGGCCACCTGATCTCTTTGTTCTCCAACACCTTCAGTTGGCACCTTGCAGGGGAGGGGCCCAGGCCACCAGTTGCCAGGAGACAGGGTGTTGGCCATTCTCTGTGCAGACACCATCACACTGGCCCTCTAGGGCTCTACAACAATCACACCCCCTTATCCCACCACCTAGATACTTAAGAAATGCCTAGGGGAAACTGAGGCACCCACACAGTAGTCAGAGAAAACATTAAGAACATTCCCACTTCGTCACAGCCAGTCAGATGTGTTAATTTGTGTGACTCTTTCTATTGACTCTGCCAAGCTGTGCTGCAGTGAGACAGAATCACTGGGGGGCAGGTTTTTTAAACCAATGAGAGTTAGGGATCTATGCACATGAGGCACCTAGTCTGCATCTTGAGGCACCTAGATATCCTTAAAAATCTGGCCCTAACTGTACAAGGCCATGTGCCCCATGCCATTAGGGAATCTAGGGTCTATTTGAAACTCTCAGCTTTTCTGCAAACAGCATTTCCAAAGCTGCAAAATGTTTCTGGGAACCTGGTCTGGACTCTGCAAACCTTACTTCCCGATGGATGAAGTCCAAGGAAAACTATGGTATTGGCAGAAAAAGTCAGGTTGTTTCTTAAAGAGGTATTACCCATAATGAAATTCAGCTGGGGCTTAGTGTGGGCAGCTTTGTGACAGCAGTGACTTTGCGGCTTCTCTGAATCTCAGCTGCGCTCTTTCCTCTTTCCTCACAAAAAGGGACACAGTAGGGAAAAGTAACGTTGGTAGCCAGCAGCTTAACTCTTCTGCTGTCACAAATGGTCCCGTTCCAGCAGCCTCCATGGCTGTCCTTTGGAATGTTCATTCTTAGCCCCGGTCTACACTACGAGTTTAGGTCAAATTTAGCAGCGTTAGATCCATTTAACCCTGCACCCGTCCACACGACAAAGCCGTTTTTGTCGATTTAAAGGGCTCCTCCCGCCGAGGGGATTAGCGCTGAAATCGACATCGCTGGGTCGAATTTGGGGTAGTGTGGACGCAATTTGATGGTATTGGCCTCCGGGAGCTATCCCAGAGTGCTCCATTGTGACCCTCTGGACAGCATTTTCAACTCAAATGCACTAGCCAGGTACACAGGAAAAGCCCCGGGAACTTTTGAATTTCATTTCCTGTTTGGCCAGCATGGCGAGCTCATCAGCACAGGTGACCATGCAGTCCCAGAATCGCAAAAGAGCTCGAGCATGGACCGAACGGGAGGTACTGGCTCTGATCGCTGGATGGGGAAACGAATCCGTGCTATCAGAACTCTGTTCCAAAAGATGAAAGGCCAAAATATTTGCAAAAATCTCCAAGGGCATGATGGACAGAGGCTACAACAGGGACCCACAGCAGTGCCGCTTGAAAATTAAGGAGCTCAGGCAAGCCTACCAAAAAACAAAGAGGCAAACAGCCACTCTGGGTCAGAGCCCCAAACATGCTGCTTCTATGATGAGCTGTATGCAATTCTGGGAGGGAGGGGGGCCCTACCACTACCCCACTCCTGTCCGTGGACACCTGCAAGGGGGGAGTCTCATGCAATAGGGATGAGGATTTTGCGGACGAGGAAGATGAGGAGGAGGAGGATAGCGCACAGCAGGCAAGAGGAGAAACTGCTCTCCCCGACAGCCAGGAACTGTTTATCACCCTGGAGCCAATACCCTCCCAACCCTCCCAAGGTGGGCTCCCGGACCATGAAGCCAGAGAAGGCACCTCTGGTGAGTGTACCTTTGTAAATAAAATACATGGTTGAAAAGCAAGCGTGTTTAATGATTAATTTGCCCTGAAGACTTAGGATGCATTTGCAGCCAGTACAGCTACTGGAAAAGTCTGTTAACGTGTCTGGGGATGGAGCGAAAATCCTCCAGGGACATCTCCATGAAGCTCTCCTGAAGGTACTCCCAAAGCCTTTGCAAAAGGTTTCTAGGCAGGGCGGCCTTATTCTGTCCTCCATGGAAGGACACTTTACCATGCCAGGCCAGTAGCACGTAATCTGGAATCATCGCATAACAAAGCATGGCAGCGTATGGTCCCGGTGTTTGCTGGCATTCAAGCAACATCCATTCTTTAGCTCTCTGTGTTATACTCAGGAGAGTGATCATCCCAGAGAATTGGCGGGGGGGGGGGGGTTAGTTGGGTTTGTGCTGCACGTTAACCCAAAAAACGCAGCCCCTCCTTATAAATGACCAACCCAATGGGTGCTTGGTATGGGAAAGGAGGGCGCTGCTGTTTGAAATCATTCCCGCATGTTATGAAGGTTGAAGAAGCCGAAAGGCTGTGGCTTACCATGGCTGCCTGCAAGTCGAATTCTGTTGCCTGGCCCTGCGTGTGTGATCTCTCACACCAAACCAGCAGGCCCTCAATATGAGAGGCAAAATGCAACCTTGTTCTGAAAGCACATGGGCTATGTAATGCTATCAGCTTAGTTCACTGTGAAAGAGTCTACCCATTGTTCTCTAAAATGTCTCTCTTTAAATACTACTCTCCCTTTTTTTCCTCCTGCAGCTGCAAAATGTTTCAACACTCCCCCTATCATCTCTGTCCCAGAGGCTAGCACAGATAAAAAGGTGAAAAAACTGCACTCATGATGAAATGTTCTCTGAGCTCATGCAGTCCTCCCGCACTGAAAGAGCTCAGCAGAATGTGTGGAGGCAGACAATGTCAGAGTCCAGGAAAGCAGAAAATGAATGCGAGGACAGGAGGGATGAGCGAGATGAGAGGTGGCAGGAGCAAAATGAGAGGAGGCAGGATGCAATGCTGAAGCTACTGGGGGATCAAACTGATATGCTCTGGCATCTGGTGGAGCTGCAGGAAAGGAAGCAGGAGCACAGACTGCAGCCCCTGTATAACCGCCTGCCCTCCTCCCCAAGTTCCATAGCCTCCTCGCCTAGATGCCCAAGAACGCGGGCTGGGGGGCGCTCCGGGCATCCAATCACTCCACCCCAGAGGACTGCCCAAGCAACGGAAGGCTGGCATTCAATAAGTTTTGAAGTGCAGTGTGGCCTTGTCCTTCCCTCCTCCCCTCATCCACCACACGACCCGGTCCTTCCCTCCTCCCCGACCCCTCCCAGGCCACCTTGGCAGTTATCCCCCTATTTGTGTGATGAATTAATAAAGAATGCATGATTTTGAAACAACAATGACTTTATTGCCTCTGCAAGTGGTGTTTGAAGGCAGGAGGGCGGTTGACTTACAGGGAAGTAGAGTGAACCAAGGGGGCGGGTTTTCATCAAGGAGAAATAAACAGAACTGTCATACCGTAGCCTGGCCAGTCATGAAACTGGTTTTCAAAGCTTCTCTGATGCGCAGTGCGCCCTGTTATGCTCTTCTAATCCCCCTGGTGTCTGGCTGCACGTAGTCAGTGGCCAGGCGATTTGCATCAACCTCCCACCC